GACTGCAACAACGTCGTCTGAGTCGCTTCGGGAACGCTGGTTGCTCCTAGGACTGTGAAGCACTGGAATACTCTTCGCCGGAGTAGGGCCTCCCGCGAGCGGAGAGTGGGCCCCTCTGAGGCCGTGCTCGGGAGACGTGAGTTTTCTGGTCCTGCGAGAGGGTCCTCAACATGCGGCGCCTGGGCGGCATACGCATTCGCGAAAAGGAAGGCGTTGCTAAGTAGAGTGGTGAGGCGGCGCGCGACGTCTAGTGTCACAAGTGCGGGGGCATTGTGTCGCAAGAAAGCGAGTATGGCACCGAGCGCAACTTCGCGTACGTGTAGTAAGAAACCCCATTCCGCTGCTGTGCGCGCAACGGTGTCCTTCGAGAGTGGTTTTGGGAGCGCGTTACGCCAAAGGACAAGGAGCTGTGGCAAATGCGTCCGCACGAAGTTCGGGCCAAGGGTCATAAGTGCAGCGATGCACGTCCACGCTGTCTCTACTTCTACACCTGCCAGTTCAACGGGATGTTCGCCCGTGCGTTTCAGCAATGTGATTGCCATGTCAAGTACCTTGGCACTGATGTCGTATGAGACATAGAGTGGTTTCTCCGGTATCACAGTCACGAGTGCGGCAAGGCCATAGGCATGGCCCAAGGCGCGGAATGTTAAATCTGATGGCGCCGTCTGAGTCTGAGACTGGCTAGTGAGAATGTTGATATCGCGCTGAAGGAGCTCGACAGCATTGATCACAATTTTGGGAAGGCGTAATGGTGCAGAGAAACAGAATATGCGCAAGACCCATGCAGTGTGGATACGCACGGTATGGCTTGGGTGGGCTAGAAGTGTCACCAGAGGCTCCGAAAGAGCTTCCTATTATGCAATAAGATAAGAGCGTGTTCGAGTTACAGTACCGGTTCGTACCTGTACGGGAGGAGGTGCATTCCCAAGTTGTTGCAAGAGACCAGCAACCTCTCTTAGTACGATAGTAAGTACATGAGTAGCAGGCGCTAGCGACCCAGGCATCAGTGCGGGCCATCTCTTTAGATAAACCTTTGACAACTCTTGGATGGCAGCTATCTGGGACTGCTCGCTCAGCATGCGTACTCCGATTAGGTCTCGGAGAAGGATGCCGACGAGACGGCGGACAAGGAGTATTTCGTACCGCGTTGCAATGTTACGCGGAATATCGACCACCTCAGACATGAGGTGTTGCACAATAGTCCCGTAGTTTGTCTCAACGAAGGTTGGACCCAATGTGGTCAATAGTGCAGCATAGAGATCGAAAATTCCGACTCGTGTTTTGTGTGTTGACTGTGGCTTGTTAAAGTGCATGGAGAGCTGGTGCAACATTTCACTAAGGGACAGGATTGTCTTTGTTTCTCCAGCTGGGGGAGCAATAGGCGCGGGGTCGTCTTCCTCCTCTTGATCCTTCTTGTGTTTCTTTGATGTGTCCTGAGTAGGGATGGCGGCTGGGGCCTGGGATGAGGAGAGAACAAGGCCGACAAGGTGTGCGAGGGAGTGACGAGTGACCTGATCGGCAGTGTCGAGAGACTTCACACACAGGGAAACTACAGATTCTATTTCTGAGGCCGTCCAGTCTCCGCCAGAGAGGGGATATATAACCATGAGAACCTGAAACGTGAGGAATGACAATTATACATTACGATAGATGTTAGAATTACCTCGCAAGCAGCACGCCTGACAGGAAAGGACTTGTCATTAAGGGCAGATTTCATTTGCTTGGTGATGTCTTTTGTTACCGTCTCGGTCGCGGCGCGTCGTGCTTTGGAAAGAGATTTTCGAAGAGCAATGATAGCGTGATAGCGAAGCGGGATGGGCTAGAAGAGAGTCAGACTGCTGAGAGATACCGTAAGCCTGAAAGAAGACTTGCACCAGACAACTTGTAAGTCCTAATCGCAACTGTGGCGATCTCCGTCATGAAAGACATGACCTTGTCGAGTTGCAGTCAATGGAGTTGGTTTACAAAGAGATAAAAGCGTACCTGTGTTCCAAATGTACCCATTAGTTCGCCGATGCAGTATAGTGACGCTCTGTCACACGGAGATCAATAAGTGATTGGAGAGTTAAGGCAACGACGAACATTTTATGTTGGTCTCTATCTGGTGGAGCCTTGAAATCGTTTGCTACTTTCAGGAAGGCAATAAGAGTGTCAAACATATTCTTTGAATCCCCGCGCGCGTAGAGAATTAGGAAACAACTTGCGACTAGGTTGCGCAATGCACGTCCAGGGACAGGGTAGGGCTCGTGTGAAGAAACGACATTGATTAGACCTGTCTCGAGATCTTTCTGGGCTGCCTTGATATCACCCTGCGAGGCTTTAATCAGGAAAGGAATCGAAACGATAAGGTGTCGGCCCACAGGTGAAGACGTTTTCAAGAATCTCTCTACGGATGCTAACCACGCGAATAGATACACCTCGCCGCTCTCGCCTGACAGTTGTGACTGCGAAGAACGTAAGAAAAGGAGCACTGAAGACAGTGATCACAGACGCACCTCATCAATGGACTTGTTGTCGAGAGAGAATTCCACGAGAGATGAATCCATGAAGTCGAGATTAAGTTTAGACTCGGCGTTGCTTGGGAGGGACCAGATCACGTGCTCGAATCGACTATCACCAAATCGCTTGACGCCCATGTCGATCCTGCGCTTTAGCCATGCGCTGGACACCTGTCTACCGCACCTTATTCCCAACCATCACCGCTCTGCATGACTCGCATCCCATCTATACTACAGGGAAACGCCAGAGACTCAGATGATGATCAGCAGTGGGAGGACCTCCCAAATAACGAATTGTTACCCCCTCCCAGATCATCCTCTACTTCTCCTTCCAGCTCGTTCAGAGGCACTGCCAGTGCCGTACGTACTCGAAGAACTGCGAGGCAGCGCGCTGTGCTCCCGACTAGCTCTCCGCGCAAGTACACGCATTCCGATTTTCGCAACACCGTCCGGGCACGACGCGAGCGCGACTTCATCGTTGAACTGCCTCCCCAAGAGCTACGGGCCACTCCAGGCTCAGAGCGCGGGTCTCACATGTACCCACTTCTCCGGGAGTCAACGAATATTCTAGCCTCACACAGCAGTTCCACACTCGAACTGCCTCTAGAGGCAATGAACCCTCCGCTCTCGCAGCGTGGTTCCACAGTCGAATGGCCTCAAGAACCAACGGGCCCTCCGATCCTGCAGCGCGGTCCCGTGCATGAACTGCCCTCCAAAGGACAACCTGGCGCTACAGAAATCGTCGATATTCTGAGCGAATCATTCATCCCTGTTCTTTATTACATCGTAGAGGTGCTCGGAACAGTCTTACGGATGATGAAGTTCCCTATCTCGATCGTCCTCGCTGTTATCGCCTGCGCATATGGCCTTGGAATTATGTCAGATGCCATCAGATCTGCCCTCGCGCCGATGTGCTCTGTCCCAGTTATTTCACTCCTTTGTCCCGCGTCGGGAATTAATCGACCTCCTCACCCTCCAAATTCTGATCGTACCCCTCAGTGGGCGGACTTTCCGACTCTCTTGAATGTGGAACACAAGTCTTTCGAGTCCCTGCTTGACGAAGCTGTTGAGGGCCCGGGCCTCGCTCTCGAGATAAAGAAGGCAGAAATGGCAACGAGTGACCTCGTCACGCTGGTGCGAATCAGTAAGCTGAATAGTCGCGAGATCCTCGCGAACTCGTTGAGCGAGTTTGTGAAGGACGCGCGCAAGGTTGGCCGTGGACTGACACGCTTCAGCTCCAGAGTAGGAGGTGCCATAGACAAGTACGTTTATTGACCCTCTGCATTAGCCATAACCGCTGACAAGCAATCGCAGCATCATCGCCGTCAATGATTATGCCCTTCATTGTATTGAAGCTGCCAACTCCCGGTCCTCAGGGCTTTCGCTCAGGCGCCTATGGGGTCCTCCCCCTGCTAAAGAGGTTGTTACGCGCGCTTTCACCGAGGCGATGAATACGCTTTCAGTGAATATGCAACGCCTCATCTTGGAGGCCCAGGTATCACTTTCAGATCTAGAAAAACTCGAAGACCATCTAGCCACCATCCACGATATTATTTCTCGTGAAGACTCCTCAATCGTCACGGCCAGAAAAGAACTCCTCGCGCAGCTGTGGACCATCTTAGGTGGCAACAAAGACGAACTCAATGGAATGGACGAACACCTCGCCTTGCTCAGAGGCGTGAATGGGTACCGTGATCGTGCGCGTGCCCACGTAGCTGCCGCGTTGCAAACGCTGGAAACGATGCAGGGAGACATGGAAGACCTTCGTGAGCGCGTCGCCGCGCCCCAGCTCGTCGGTGATGCCATACCGATAGATGTGCATATCAAAAGCCTGAGTAGTGGGCTTGAAAGGTTGAAGGGGCGGAGGACGGGCGCAAAGAAGCTGGAAGAGCAAATCGTGAGCCGGATAATGGACGGGGCCAAAGTCACGCGCAAAGAGTAGCTCCACATGCCCCCAATTCAACTCTTCTTTCTTTTCCAGACCCACTTCGTCGATTGCTCATATATATTTTTCATCTGTCGTATTCTATTTTTCTGCGCAGCTCTACAGAATCTGGTGAACCCGTGTGCATCTCATATTACCGTGTAGATTCCTTTGATATTTTCCATTCATCGAGGATGATGGAAGTACAGCCGCAGCGCGACATGCGGCTGGATCTCTCAGGACCTCGATAACATTGGGAAACGCCCCTGGTATAGCAGATTTCTCGTATGTCATCTGGCACTCAGCTGGTGCGAAGTAGAGAAAGAACGTGCCATGAATGGCATGACAGTGCTTCTTAAACCTCCGTCCCGATTGTTCCTAGAGTCGATAAGTCATTATATCGTGCAGGTAAGCTAATAAGTCGCTTCCGTCGATAACCACAAGTAAACAACACCGCCAGCCAGCGTGCGCGACTCCATACAAGTGACCGGACCGGACTGGGGTAGACCGTTTTGGACATTTCTCCCGAGATCCGAGAAAACGATAAAGACAAGGCCTCTTGCATGCAAAAAGAAGTCGACCACCAGCAGGATTCGAACCTGCACCCCCAACTTGAAACGCAGGCAAATTTCTTCGTCCACAATCCCGAAGAGGGAACAAACAATGTCTGTTACCGTGCCCACTCGGTTATGATGGCTTGCCCGCACAGTACCTGAGACAGTGGTAAAGACATATACCGTGAATGAGATGATAGGAAACGGATATGACAATGCATTTTGTCCTGCCAGTAGGCGTGCCTGCAGTCAATCGGTAATTATTTCTCCTCATACTGGGGTCAAGTGGACGATTGTGCGGCAAGATGGTGGTCAGCATACGGCTATGGCTGGCAGAGATGCATCCTCCCTGAACAACCAGGACAGCGGCGCGAGGAAGGATGCAAGCGTTAAGTACAGTGCGATAGAACATAATGTAGAAGCCATGTGGGCTCGGAATTGGTGAAAATAGTAACTCTCGTTTATAGGAAGGGTGGTGGATATTTAAAAATCGAATCAGCTGCAAGATTGTCTAGCAGATACCGGAGCACGTGCAGAAACACGAGTTGTCGTTGCACGTGACCGTATGCGGCTACGCGACGCGGCTGTGCAACCAATTGTGTTGTGGCTCGAACTGGCTCGAACTCGTGGTGCCAGTGTGGCCCAGACACAGCCGTGCAGGTCAGTGTCTAGTCAACAATTGTACGGCCACAACTAGGAACCGTATTGTTTTGTCCAAGCCGAGTCACCTAGATCACTTATTTGAAGCCAACGGTGGGTGATTCTACCGTTTTACCTCACCGCCTTTCTCTTGTCTCACAACATGTCCAATCTTAGCACCACTCCCCCGCACTCCAAAGGCACCCCAACTGGGAGTCTTTTTTCCAAAACAACACCTTTGAAGCGTGACCTTTCAGGAAGTCAAACCCATACCTCCACGCCGGAAGCAAGGGCCTCAACACGGTATAAAGATATGGCACGAGACGCATGCGAAAAATTTGTCGGGCCCATGCCCGTAGACGAATTCTTATCAGAATTTGTCCCAGAAGCAACCGAAGTCCGACCAGAGGATAAATTTATGTTTCCCGCCTCCTCTGTTTCACAAAACGAAGATGATTTTGTAAGCCACCCTACTCCCAAAGTAGTATCTACGTTCACGGCCATCACAGATTCGTGCAATTGAGGCATCTGGCCTCTGCCCCAAGCTCAAATTTATCAATACTACTACTCGCCAGGACGGACAGTACCGTCTGAAACCAGACATCTCCATTTATTCCGACAAACATCTCTCCGATGACCCCGAGACTGAGCGGTGGAAGACGCTCGACTTGTGGATCGAAAATAAGAACAATGGCGATGACATATTCCGCACGGTTGATAAGATGCGGCGCAAGGTTCCGCCAGTGGAACGTCACATAAAGCATTCTGAGGCCGCGTACAAAATCTGCGGCCAATTGCTCTCCTACGCCTCTGCCCTCCACCATTCACAGTTCCGTGTTTTTTCTTTCGCCGTCATCCTTTTCGGTGACTCGGGCCGGCTTCTTCGATGGGACCGTAGCGGAATAATATATTCCGAGTCATTCAATTGGGCAGATCAACCTGACACTCTTTTCGAATTCTTCTGGAGGCTGAACTTCCTCTCAGACGTTGATCGTGGTTACGACACCACTGTTACCTCAGTGACAGACGACGAGGTCGAAGTAGCACTTAACAAGTTGAAGACATATGAAGGCCTGGAGAATGTACAAGCCGCCGACCTTCACCAATTCCTCGTTCATGACGATCACTCTACAGACGGACGACCCGGACGTTACATTGCGCCAAGTCCAATATGGGATACCAAGGCACTCTTTGGTCGTTCGACCTTTGGATACATCGCTTATGACGTCGCGAGCACAGATTTGGTGTATCTGAAGGACTTCTGGCGCACCGCTCTTCCGGATATCCAAAAGGAGGGCGATGTGTATCGAGAATTGCACAACGCGCAAGTGCCTCACATACCGACTTTGGGACGAGCTGGGGACGTTCCCTTATCACCCAACCACGTGAATGCTCTCCCGTTTGCCGTACAGCGGACAAAGACGCGCGACTACGTCGGACGTGAATGGTGTCCCGGTCGACCTTGCGTCGAACCTTATGTACATTATCGGCTGGTATTGAAGACGCTTGGGCGGCCACTCAATACATTCAGATCGACTCGGCAACTATGCGAGGTCATTCGGGATGCTATTGAAGGTAAAAAATGGCGTTGCCCTTTAGCTTAGTTGTTGATTGAAGGTTCGCAACAGCTCATACGGCGGCCTATGAGAAGGCGCAAATTCTACATCGGGATGTGAGTGCGGGGAACATTCTGATCGCCGATGATGGATCAGGGATGTTGATTGATTGGGATCTTTCGAAGAAAGTGATAAAGGATGTGGATAGGGAGGCGAGGAGTCATTCACGCACGGTATGGTTATTTTTCTTCCTCATGGGGTCAAACTGAATGAATTTGCATGCAGGGTACATGGCAATTCATATCGATATCACGTTTACGTGACCCCTCAACCAGGCCTCATGAGGTTTCGGACGACCTGGAATCCTTTTTTTGGGTACTTCTCTATGAAGTGACCAAATGTCGCAACGTTAGAGGGGCGAACCTCTCCGGGGAGTTACAAAGTGTCTTTGATCAACACTCGGAAGTGAAACGCGATGGCACTGTCACGGGCGGCGCAGGAAAGCGCATTTGTCTCAAAAGCGGGTACTTTGATCCGCTAATGGTCCTCGACCTTGTAAAGACACCCTGCAAAGACATTATCGAGGAGCTGCGCGCCCTTTTCCGTGACTTTTACTTCCAAGACAGAACAGGGGACGATCTCGGCTCGGATATTCTGTTGCTCGCTGAACGCTTACGGGAAAGCGATCCCAAAGTCAAGGACGCTCGCGAAAGGCTTTCCTCGTCCCAGTGGATATTTGACATGATCAACAGACACCTTGCCTCCAAATGGGACGTGGATAATGACGGTAGCCTATACACAATCTTGCTTCGTCCAAATCCGTCTGCAAGTAGGAAGCGCAAGCGCAAGGCTCCATCTGACGGTGATAGCCGGGAAACTTCTAACAAGATCCCCAAAGGGCGACTTCGTCCTAGTGAATCCGTGCCTTCGGGGAATGGATCTTCCTCTCGGTCGCGAGGCCATCGCGGGGGGTCACTGCTTACTACATCATCTTCACGTACTGCTTCGCATTCTACTACATATAGTTCTTTGCTCTCCCGCAGTAGCAATCTCAATCCCGGAGCAGGTTAGTATGATGGGTGTCCGGGTTTTAAGGATGTGCCTGTCGAGTTTGGCTGTTCGATTATTTGCTAGATTGTTCGTCGTACTGTTACTCGCATAGGATTCCCTTTAATGTTTAATGTACGGCCGCGTTTGACACCATCGAGTCCAGGACATTTGTGAGCATGCACAAGGTTTTTTTAATTTTATAAATCCAATTTGTTTGCCGCTTGTGACTTGCGTCAAGGCACGGTCTCTCTAGTAACGAATACAGGAGATATTCAAGGGAGAAAAGGGGGCTTATTCGAGTGGGGTGTGTGAAAGGTAGCGGGAGGACAGAGGTGAATCAGGTAGGTGACAGGGGGGGCTAGCTAATTAGTATACCCAGGAAACTATCCTGGGTCAAAGGCCTCCTCTTACAGCTTGAAGTATGCTTTGACCACCTTAAGGAATGCAAGAAGCGCTTTGCCGCCTCCTTTGGTGGGGTGTTGAGCCCACATTCCGGGCAGCTGGTGCATTTACGGGGTGGAACCTGGCTGTGCACGAGCCGATGAAGGCGAGAGTGGCCGAGATGTGGCGTGCGCTGCCAGAGGCCCCATCGGCAAAACATCCATTAGCTTGTTTACTTGCCAGCTTTTTTAAGTATAAAAGTAGAAAACTGTAGTGAAGTTATGAGCAGAACAGGTGTGCGACTCGGACGACTCACCGCAGAGTGGCAACGGGCTTATCTAAGCGTTGCCTAATTGAGCGATTTGACGAGGACTCGCGAGCGAAGCAGTGATAAAGATTGGAGGGGCTAAGTCTGCAGGAACCTTCGAGATGAGGGATTGGAAAGTTCTTGTCATATCATACATGGCATGTGTTTTCACCACTGTGCACAGGGCATCATGCATCATGGCCAAGCACCATTGGTAACAGACAAGAAATCTGTTCCCCTCTAACACGGTGGGCAAGAGAGGGTAGGCAGAGTCCGCTTATAGTAAACTAATCGGCCATTTAATTTTGAATATACTCGCTGCTAAGGGGACTCAAATGTTATCTTAGATTATACAAGCTTCACTTGTTGGGGGCTTCACCCCCAAACCCCCTTTGCTCGCCAACCTTCCTCTCGCTACAGTGTCTGACTAAATTCTACATTGTATAGACCTCTTAACAATAACCTGAGTGAACATGCAGTCATGCATTAATGGATATCAAAACCCCTTTTGTTTTTCTGTGCCATTATTTGACGTCATCCTCTCCTCCCTCATCTCCTATTCTCATCAAACTTGCAGCTTGAAGAATGGTACAAAAGGATGTCACTCAACATATAGAAGTTGAAGAATTCTCATCACTGTGTTGCCAATGCCCATGCCAGCATATCATCACATGTTTTCCCTCCTAAATCAAAATTGGTAAGATTGTCCAATCATGTCTCCAATTTATGTACCTCATGCCATTTATATAGTAGTAGATTACTAAATTCTACATTGCACACTACTTTAACAGTACTTCACTATATACAATGTGGCCCCCAAACTCCCTTACTACACTTGAACAGACGTGGCAAAGAGAAAGTCAAGTAGGAATGCTACTTAAAACTAATTTATTTTTGAATCACACAATGTTTAAACCCCCTCAAAAAAACTTTTTTTTAAATAGTTCAAACAACTATATTTTTCAAACTATATACATAAATACAAAAGACAGACAGAGGCTAAAGTGAAAAAAAAGGAAAAAATTGTCTTAGCGCCAGCAGTGCCCAGCACTCATGGCATCATAGAGCACACAGAAAAAAAAAGAAAAAAAAAGAACTTACAACTCATTGCCAAAAAAATGCGACTTACTGTTGCCGCTGGCACATCAACGTTGCTTGACGGAGGGGAGGGTGGGGCATCGAGATTTGGGGCCTGCAGAGAGAACATGAA